GGTTCCGAACATCAGCAGACCCACCTCCCAAACACAGGAGCCAGGACTCATTGGTGCCCAAGAAGGAAAAGAAAAAAAATCTGGCAGGTGGGAAGAAGCGGGGCCGAAAGCCCAAGGAGCGGCCCCCAGAGGAGCCTGTGGCCAAGCTGCCCCCACGCCGGGACGACTGGCCTCTAGGATGCAAAGACAAGGGGGCCCGGGGCTCCACTGGCCGGAAGGTGGGAGCCAGCAAGGCGCCTGAAAAGTGAGCTTGGCGGGTGGGGCCTGGCCCCCATGCAGCTGCCACACCGCCCTCTGTTCAAGGCAGGGCTAGCTCCGGGACCTCTGTCCTACAGTTCTCCATCCCCCACCCCCACCTCTTCATCTGTCCAGTGGGGGCAGCCAGCCACGCTCCCTTCCCTGAAGGTGGCCCTTCCCCTGTTAAGGCTGCCACAGGGCACACCTGGGTTGGGGCTCCCCAAGGTGTGTCCAGCAGAAGTGCAATAGCCGGGAGGGTTGCCCCTCCCCATGGGAATGTGTCTGGGGTCTTGGTGCCACAGGGGCTGCAGTGCAGAGCAGGCAGATGGCCTTTGGCCTCCGGGCTCTGCTTCCTCAGGCCCTGCCGGGTCCCCACCCTGGCTCCCTCAAGGCTCAGGCATCCCTGGTGACCTGTGGTTCTGGGCTGGTGAGGGCACCTGAGCGACTGGCAGCCGGCAGCCACCATCCTGGCCTCACCTCCACCCAACACTGGAACTCCAGCACCCCCAGCTACCTCCCAGGACAGACCCCCGTCTGACCACTGCCATGCTGACCCGACAGGCTCCTGCCTGCCCTTGGCCACCCACTTGGTCCCCCTGCTTCTGTTTTCTACCTCTCCAGGGCTGCCCCCTACCCCACCCCTGCCGCTCCTTTGTCAGTGTGATCCCTGCTGTGCTCAGGCCCTGCCCCACAGGCCTGTCTGTGCTCCCAGCTTGGGGTAAGGGAGGGTTTTGCTTCTTGCACCTACAGGGCAGCAGGAGCTTGATGCCCTTCAACACAGCTGCCAGCCCTGGGGGTGTGGGGCCCCTGGAGTATGCTCTCCCTCCAGTGTTCAGCCTTCTGGCACTGCAGGCCTAGGTTGGAGCAGCCTCATGGAGTAGGGATGGACTAGTTTGGGCTCTGGGGTCTTCCTGGGGCCCACGGACATGTGGGGCAGGAAGCTGGGCAGAGCTGGCCTGGCTCTGAGTGGCCACTGGGGGAAAGGCAGCCTTCTGTCTGCCAATCTGGGTAGGCCCAGTGGCCGAGCTCTCATGGGAGCCCCCTCCCCACTTTTTTTTAACCGGCCCCCATTGTTTCTGGTCGTGTGGACTGATATGGGAACTGAAGGCCAGCCAGGGGAGGGGTCGGCCAAAGTCACGCAGGCTGATGGCAGCTCCAGAGCTGTCTTTGCCCCCTTTGTGCCCCGGGGGACGGCTGGGTCTACAGGCTGGGCAGGGGTCAGGCAGGGAGTCCAGGGTGCCTGGAAGAGGGGGCCACAGCCTGTGGCTGCCTCCCTGGGGTCCTGCCTTCCAACCACGGCGTTGCAAGGAGGACGAGGCTCTGAGGGGGCAGCTTTGGAGGGAGGCCGTTTTCCAGGGTGGGTGGGAGTGGGCTGAGGGCTCATCCCCACTGACCCTGGACGATGTGAATTTTGATGTTTGCCCGTGTGCGTGTGTCTCCTGGGTGTAGTGGATGCCAGTCTTGTTGCTGTGACAAGTAACAACCTTTTTTTTAAATTGTTTTTTATACAAAAACTCACAATCTGACATTTGGTGCTAAGGGTTTCCTGGTGCAGACGGTGGGCCTGGGGGTTGGGCTGGGCCAGGGCGTGGGTCTCTGGGGTTTGGGTCCCTTGCTGCTCAGGGAGGCAGTACTGACTGGGCACTGCCTCTGCCCCCAGCACCCACCCTCACCCATCCCCCAGGGAGAAGGGTCCCCACTGGGCTCGGCCTGCAGTAGTAGGGAGACAAGTTCCAGGAGCACTTTGGGGACTGGGGTTGCAGTACACTTCCTGTCTCTGGCTTTATCCTTGGGCCAGAAGGCTCTGACCCTCAGCAACCCTTGCCAGATGTGCTAGGGAGGGGGTGTGGAGACCTGGACTCCCCCACCCACGCACACCTCGGCCTGATGAGAGGATGGAGGCTTGGGCAGAGATGGGCGTGACCCAGCGTCAGAGGGTCCGGGGAGGCTCTCCCTCCTGTGTCCCAGAGCTTCACTGGTGCAGCCGGTGGGGCTGGAGGTGGAGGGTGGGGTCTGACAGCTTCTGCTGGGGCAGCCTCGGGAGGCGAGGGGAGCAGGCACTGGGCAGGGGCCTAGGTGCACTTTGTCCTTGCCACCAATGGCGGGAGGAGGGTGGACCTGAACACCTCTGCAGGGTGTCGTGCGCCTGCCCCAGCCTCTCAGGTACTTGGCCCTTGGGGAGGAGAGAAGAGGGTCTGGTTTTTGCTAGGGGTGAGTTTCTGGGACACTCCCAAAGCCCACAGATAATCCCTGGTGTGGGAAGAGGAGTCCTGGATACCTTGATGCTTAGCACTTTAACCCCCTTTGTCTTTAAGGTAGGCGTGGGGGCTACTGTCAGAAGTGGCTGTTGGGTCTGACCCCTCCTTTCTTCCCTCCCTCTCCCACATGCTGGTCTGCAGAGCACTCCTCCCAAGGGGTAGGGCCCTGGGTGGAGCTCAGCAGGGTCTGCCCACTCCCTACGCTGGCCCACATAGGCCTCCAGGAGCCCTCAGTGAGAGGGACCAGCATAGCAGACCCCCAGAGTGTGGTGGGCGCCGGCCCTGCCCGGGACCCAGTCGGGGCCCTTTCTGCAGCTCTACCTCTGGCTCAGCGCACGCCCCCTGCCCTAAGAACAGGAAAGGGCCCGGAAAGGCTGACTCACCGGGCCGACACTCACGAAAATGGGATGCACTTTATTTGCTGGTGCAAAGGCAGGTGAGGGTGCCTCCTGTGTGACCGTTGACCCTCCTGCCTGGTGGCCCTGAAGGGAAGGAGCCAGTGAGCCTGACCCCGGGAGGGGCCGCCCCCACGTGCCCTGTTTGGCGGGCCCCAGGCGGCTCCCCCAGGCCGGGGTCTGGGGCCCCAGGCTCTCCCCTGCCTCGCGGCCGCGCGGCCTGTGCTTTGGGTTTCTTGGTTTGGGTTTTTTAATGCCAGTTCTCAGTACATAAGTGCATTTTGAAAGAGGTTCCAGCTATCACTTGTAACCATATATATATACATATATATTCTATCTACAAAGTGTTTATTTGCGAGATGTTTCGACGGTGAGTTCGGGCCCCGCCCGCCTTGTGACCATCTGTCCCCGGTCCTCGTCCCCGCCCCGCGCCCTGGTCCCGAATGGCGTGCGGACGGGCCATCACTGTATGTATTAAAATGACTGTATCAAATAAATGTTTATTGATTTTTTTCCAGGGTTTTTGTGCGACTGAGTTTGTGGTGAAACGCAGGGGGCGGGGCCCTCCGGGCACGTGGTGGCGGCGGTAGAACTACGGGTCCCGCGTGCCCTCCGCGCGGCCTTGTGGGGCTCGTAGTCCGGGACGCGCGGCCTTGTGGGGCTCGTAGTCCGCGACGCGCGGCCTTGTGGGGCTCGTAGTCCGCGACGCGCGGCCTTGTGGGGCTCGTAGTGCGCGACGCGCGGCCTTGTGGGGCTCGTAGTCCGCGGTGGGCGGGAGAGGGAACCACCAGCTCCCGGCGGCCCACGCGCGCCGCCCGGCCCAGCCCGGCCCGCGGAGAGGCCTCCGAGCGCAATGGCTGCGCCCCCGGCCCGCGCGGACGCCGACCCCTCGCCCATGTCGCCACTTACGGCCCGAGACCCGCCAGGCCGGCAGGCTGAGAAAAGCGAGACCGCGTGCGAGGACCGGTAGGCGTGGGCGCCGCCTTCACTTCACTGGCGAGCAGGAAACGGGCCGCAGCCATGGCCGAGGTGGGAGGGTGGTCAGTGCTCGCCGCGAGCCCAACTTCCCCACTCCCGGAGGCCAGGCGGCGGCGCCCCGTTCTCCCACGTGCCGGGCGGAACCCTGCGGGCTTGAAGCGGCCGGGAGGACGGACCTGACCCAAGACAGCAGGCTTCTCGGGGCCCGGGGAAGGAGGCCGGCTGCGCACCCCCAGCGTTGACCTTGGTCTCTGCCGCCAGTGGGTGGGGCCCTCGGCCTTGAGCACCCAGCGGGCCGTGTGCCTGCTCGACTGTGCGAGTTGCTCAGTGTTGTCGGCTCGGGGTGTGGCCCGGCCCGACCCGCGAGGCCAGGGGTCGGGATTTGGGGGTGCGGCGGCGCACGGTGCCTTCTGATTGCCCCTCACGCGCGGGGCACCTTCGAGGCTCTGCTGGGGCTTTGCAAGAGCATGAGGTGGGGAAGTTGCGGGGGTGCAGCGGGAGGAGCCACCCCACCCGAGCCCTGCGCGGCGCCTTTGCGGCCGTGGCCGTCAGGGGGCGGTGGCCACGCAGTGCCCGGGGCTGCAGGAGGGCGCTCTGGGCGCTGCCCCTCCCTTCCCGTCTGAAGTGTCCCTTGGGGAGCCGAGGGGTCCCCATGGAAGGGATTGTTCCTACTCAGGCGCCTCTTGCCTGGGTTCAGGCTGTGACTCTGGTCAGAAACGCTGTGAGCCAGGACTTCCTCAGAGATGGGCTGCGCGGGGGGCCGCCGGGGGAAAGGTGTCCCGGCACAGGGTCGCTCTTCTCCAGGAGCTGCTGGGCGGAAAGAGCTTTCCCGTGGTCCTGTGTCCTTTCAGTCCCTACCCTCCCAGTGGGCACTGACTGGGAGCTTTGCATGGCTGGAGTCTAATAGGACCTGAGTCTGTCCTCTGTTGATTCCAAAGAGGCTTTGTTTTGTTTGTTTGTTTTGTTTTGAGACGGAGTCTCACTCTGTCGCCCAGGCTGGAGTGCAGGGGCTGGATCTCGGCTCCCTGCAACCCCCCCTCCCGGGTTCAAGCAATTCTCCTGCCTCAGCCTCCCAAGTAGCTGGAATTACAGGTGTGCGCCACCACGCCCGGCTAATTTTTTTGTATTTTTAGTAGACAGGTATTTTGTCATGTTGTCCAGGCTGGTCTCGAACTCCTGACTTTAAGTGATCTGCCTGCCTCAGCCTCCGTGGGATTACAGGCATGAACCACCGTGCCCAGCCACCAAAGAGGCTTTGATTTAACCCAAGGTGGGGCAGGCCAATGCTAGACAAGCACTGAGGGCTCTTGATAAAGGCATTCCCAGATAACACAGGTTGGTGGCAGCAGCCATCTGGGCCTGCCCTGTGCACAGACAGTGGGCTGGGCACAGTGGTCCTCGCGGTGTCTGAGGAGGCAGAGACTGCTGTTATCTTTGTTTGGTGTGGTTACCAAGGGACAGGAGGATAGATTGCGGCACCCTTCTCCAGGGGCCCCGGTCTGCCCTGGAACTGCCTCTTGTCTTAGGCAAATTTCTTGCACTTTGTGTCTTGATGCTTGTACCATTGCGGACTTCCTCTGCCCCAGCCTAGGGCTTTTCTCACTGTTCCCCGAGTGTGTCCCCCAGCATTCCTGCGTCTGCCCCTCTTCAACCTCTGGTGCTGCCCTTGGTGTTCCAGAGCAGGCTCCAGCTTGGAGGTCTGTGCACAGGTGGAGGTCTGTCCCCAGGGCTGGGGCTCCTCCAGCACCATTCCAGTTCCGCCTGCCGTGTCATCCCAGCAGTCAGTCTGTCCGTCTCGCCCGTTGTTTACTGTCTGCTTGTCACTCGTGACTCTGTCCCGGGCACCTGCCCGAGAGCTGGCCCATGCTGGTGCAGGAACAGGTCCTTTGTGGTGTTAGCAGTGACTCCTGGCTGTGGTTGAGATGGAGTCTGGAGCTGTGGAAGTGGGGAGCAGAGGGAGGCTGCCCATGACCTGTGCAGAGCAGGTCCTGCTGAGGGAAGGTTTCCAGAGTGGTGGCGTGGGCCAGTGCAAGTCCCCAACCCCCCAGTGCCCCTCCCGCCTGAGAAAGCTGCCCCAATGACTCTTCCAGAGTCAGTCCGGCACAGGGGTCAGGCCAGCGTTGGCTCCTGTGGGCTAGCTCCTCCCTGCTCCCTCCTCCCTCCAGCCTCTTTTTAGTTATCCCGCAAACTTCCCTTAAACCTGACCTGTCGGCGGGGCGCGGTGGCTCAAGCCTGTAATCCCAGCACTTTGGGAAGCTGAGACGGGCCGATCACGAGGTCAGGAGATCGAGACCATCCTGGCTAACACGGTGAAACCCCGTCTCTACTTAAAAAAATACAAAAAACTAGCCGGGCGAGGCTGGGGAGGCTGAGGCAGGAGAATGGCGTAAACCCGGGAGGCGGAGCTTGCAGTGAGCTGAGCTCGCACCACTGCACTCCAGCCTGGGTGACAGAGCGAGACTCCGTCTCAAAAAACAAAAAACAAACAAAAAAACCTGACCTGTCAGGAGGCGCCGTGCTTCAGGCACCCAACAGGAAGGTCCGTGGGCAGTGGTGACCCCAGGGGTGGTAGAACAGGCCTGAACCACAGCAAGGGAGTACCTGAGCCTTTCTTTCTCCCTCTGTGCTCTCTCCTGCGGCTGTTTCCTCAGCGTTGGTTTCCATGCCCCGCGCTCCCTGCTGCTGGATGTTTGCTTCTAGTTTCCTTCACATTGTGGATAGTTGGTGAGGGGCAGCCCTGCCTCCAGTCTCCACACATGCCTGGGCTTCTTTCTTTCTTTCTTTCCTTTCTTTTTTGGAGACGGAGTCCCAGGCTGGAGTGCAGTGGTGCCATCTCAGCTCACTGCAACCTCTACCTCCCGGGTTCAAGCAACTCTCCTGCCTCAGCTTCCCGAGTAGCTGGGACTACAGGCGCCGCCACCACGACCGGCTAACTTTTTGTATTTTTAGTAGAGACGGGGTTTCACCGTGTTAGCCAGGATGGTCTCGATCTCCTGACCTCGTGATCGGCCAGCCTCGGCCTCCCAAAGTGCTGGGACTACAGGTATGAGCCACTGCACCTGGCCCATTTTTTGTATTTTTAGTAGAGATGGGGTTTCACCATGTTGGCCAGGCTGGTCTTGAACTCCTGACCTCAGGTGATCTGCCCACCTCAGCCTCTCAAAGTGCTGGGATTACAGGCGTGAACCACCGTGCCCGGCTGCCTGTGCTTATTTCTTTTTTTTTTTTTTTTTTTTTTTTGAGAGGGAGTTTTGCTCTCGTCCAGGCTGGAGAGCAGTGGCGCAATCTTGGCTCACAGCAACCTCTGCCTCTCGGGTTCAAGCGATTCTCCTGCCTCAGCCTCCTGAGTAGCTGGGATTACAGGTATGTGCCACCATGCCCAGCTAATTTTTGTATTTTTAGTAGAGACCCGGTTTCTCCATGTTGGTCAGGCTGGTCTTGAACTCCCTACCTCAGGTGATCCACCCGCCTTGGCCTCCCAAAGTGCTGGGATTCCAGGCGTGAGCCCCGCGCCCGGCCGCCTGTGCTTGTTTCTTTACGATGACGACACTCATGGGGCCCTTACCACTGATGAGGCGTCTGCCTTGGTCTTTGTGAGCTGGTGCTGGGATTCCAGGCGTGAGCCCTGCGCCCGGCCGCCTGTGCTTGTTTCTTTACGATGACGACACTTATGGTGCCCTTATCACCGATGAGGCGTCTGCCTTGGTCTTTGTGAGCCGGCCCACCTGTAATGCACCTGCTGTTGTCCTTGGGGAGGAAACTGAGGCAAGCCATGGCTCCGTGGAGGGGTCTGAGCCACACTCGACTGTGCTGTGGCCCAGAGTAGGATGGCTGAAGGTGAGGGAGGGGCAAGAGGTGCCCAGAAGTGGCTAAGGCAGCCTCCAGCACCACTGGCCTCAGCCTCACCTGCAAGGAGGAAACCTTAGGCAGAAGGTACCCTGGGCAGTGCTTACCCCAACGCGGTGTCAGCACCTGTGGGTGGCGTGGGAATGGGAGTTCTCCGGACCCGCCCAGCTCAGCAAGTCAGAACCTGGGAGGAACACCAGTGAATGGGACCAGGGCAGGCCACCCCTCCCCGCTGGGAGCGGCCCCTTCCTGCCGTGGGCTGCTGTGGCCGAGAGCAGCCTCCTGGAGGGGCATGTTGGGGACCACGTGGTCTGCAGCGAGGCAGCGTGATTCCAGGGTGGGGCCTGGTGGTTCCATTCACAGCTGCATACCTGGGCTCGTGCGTCCCTGGCCTGGCCAGCATAGTGTTGGCTTCCACGGGTCTCTTGGCCAGCTGGGGCAACCAGAGCATGCCCATGCCAGGTAGACCAACCTGAGTCCACTCTGCTGTTCAGACAGCCCAGCCAGTGACACGGCTCCCAGGAGCCCAGGCTCCGCGCCCCTGCTCAGGACAGCCTCTGCCTCCCCCGACCCTGGGCTGTCTCCTGCCCACTTCCCAGATGAGGGGTGTAGCCGCCTCCGGGGAGCAGAATGAGGAGAGGAAGCACCTGTGGACAGACAGATGGGCCAGTCCTGCCTCTGAGGCAGCTCCCAGGAGTGTGACCTCCGTGTGGAGTCTTCCCTTTTCCCTGAGCTCCTGGCAGCCCCTGCCTCAGTACTAGAAGCTCCAAGAGAAACCCATGGTAGGAGGAGGCTGACTCCCATGGTGACCTGTCCGCCCCGGGAGAGCTTAGGGCTGCCAGGACCTCTCTGTGCACATCCTTGACAAACTGCTGAGGGTGGGGCGGAACCCCCGTTTCTGTGGGCTCTCGGAGAGGTGACTGTGTCCGCTGTGCTCTGCTGAGCCCTGGGTGGTGAGCCCTGGGTGGTTGCAGGTCCCTGCAGGATCCCCCGTGAGTGGGGGCAGGGCAGGGCAGTTATTTTCAGATGGTGCCAGGGGGTGGAGTTTCAGATTTGTTTACGCCTGTCGGAAGCACTTTGGGGCTAGGGATGGGGTGCCCAGCTCAGCACTGATGTTCGGGACATCTGGCCAAGAGGCGCCTCAGATTTCCCTGTCCTGCTGTCGGGGGTTCACTCTGTAGCCCCAGGCAGGCCAGGGGACTGTAGCTTTTTCCAGGGGATCCAGGAGGGGTGCAGGCACATGGGGCAGGGTGGTCCTCCGCAAGCCTGCGGCCCTAGGCTGGCCGAATGTGCCAGCGCACACACAGGAGGGGGCAGTTCACACCAAGGGCTGGCCCGAGGATTGTCAGGGCCACACCAGGCAAAGCCAGCGCTATTAATATCAGGCACACACAAGCCCCCAGCTGGGTGATCCTCTTATGCCTGTGGCCTTGGCCTCTGAGGACGGCAGTGCGTGCTGTGCCCTCAGTACGGTAGGGGCTCCAAGGGCCTCCTAGCTGCTGAGTCTCTGCTGACACTTGGCAGGCAGCTTCTACCAGCCAAGGGTCTCACCCCCAGCCCCCGGCTCTGCACCCACTGTGCTGCCCATAGGAGTAGTCCTGCCCATGGACGGGCAGTTCAGGTGGCCGGAGCTCCTGAGCTGCCTTAGGGGACTGCCGTGGGTCTGAGGTGGTGATGCCCCCCACGGCTGCCTGCGCCTGAGCCCCCACGCATCCACCCCTGGGGCCACTCGCTGTTCAGGAGCACCCACCCGTGTCCTCGACCATGAGCAGCCCCCCGTCTTACCCTGGCATCAGGATCTCAGGGTGCCGGGCCCTTGGAGCAGAAGGCAGGTGAGTCTCGGCCGGAGGTCGCTGCTGCGAGGGGCGCCCACTTGTGCTGTGTGGTCCTGGCCACTCAGGCCTGTGTTTGGTGCACGTCTGTGGGTGTCAGGAATCAAACAGGCTGGCAGGTGCTCTCGGGCACCGCGCAGAGCCCATGGCCGAAGGCGCCGTTCTGCCTGGGGCCATTGGTCTGGGCACGTCTCTTCTTGTGTTGGTTACGGCTCGGAACCCTCTGGGCTGGAATTAACCTTTGTTGTTGTGGCCAGAAGCACTCTTGTCCATCTGTTCACGGGAAATGAGGTTTGTTGCGTAACTTTCTCCTCTCTTTTTGTTTATTTTTAATATTCTAAAGTTTTCTTTGTGGAGACGGGGGTCTCACCATGTTGCCCAGGCTGGTCGTGAACTGCCGACCTCAAGCAGTCCTCCTCCTGCAGCCTCCAAAGGGCTGTTCCAGGCATGAGCCACCACACCCGGCCAACTTTCCTCTGTCAAGGGGTGCTGCTTGTGAAAAGTGGGGGGAGGCTTTGTCCTTGACTCTCAGAGACAGACCAGCTTTGGAGAAGGTAGTGGGGCTGGGCTTGGTGCAGACTCAGCCTGACACCGTCACAGGCCTGCGGTGAGGCGGGTTCCTGGCACATCATCCTGGCCTGCTTCTGACTGTTCCACTGCATGGCACGGCTCCCAGCAGAAGGGCCAGCGCGTGCCTCGGGAGGGATCTGTGGTTACTTCAGCAGGATGAGGAGGAGCCACAAATGGGGGGTTGGGAGGCTCCTGCTGGAGAGGCCTGAGCACCAGGAGACTTCCAGTGGGGAGCTGACACGGTGCCAGCCCAGCCTCCGCCGTCTGGTATCTGCCCCTCAAGTTCGTCCCAGTTCTGTGCATTAGTGGGCTCACCCTTGGCGTGCAGGGTACGCGGAGGAAGTGCAGGCAGCCGCACGCGCGGTGCTGGGAGCTTTGCTGGGGAGCCTCTGCAAGTCAGATTGTGTCAGAGCTTCCTCTCTGAGGTTGAAGACCGTGGGTGATTCCCACGGATGCTGGGGTTAGGCGTAGAGGGGAGGGGCTGCCTGGATTTCTTCTCTGCCCACCACGGCGTCCATGGCCATCAGAGCGTTTCTATCTGCCGGGCCTAAGCTGGTCTGCCGCACTGTCCCCAGCTGTGGGCATCCGTCACCACCTGCTGGGGGGGTGGCCCCGGGGGTGAGCCTTGCAGGCCCTTGTGTTTACTGCTGGTGCGTTGGCAGCGTCCGTCCAGGGCCCTGGGGGTCGTGGCTTCTGTTTGCTGGGTCCCATCTTCCTTCTTGACTGACAGCCCTTCAGGCAGGTGGGGTGCAGGTCCCATTCCAGCCACGGCCCCCACACACGGTCTCGGGGCGGTGCCGTGGTACCTGCTCCCCTTTCAGGGCACCACGCAGTGGCGCCGTCCCCGGGTCCCCTCGCCTGGTTCTCTTGGCGCCTGGCTGTGTTGTTTGTGCTCAGCCCTGCTGCTGACGTCAGCGCTTAGCTCCAGAGCGATCTCCGAGGCCACGGAGGTGAGGCCGATTATTCCCAGCGCTGGCTCCCTGACGGCGGCACAGAAACAGGCAGAGGCTGTCTCCGAGGAGGGGCGCGGCGCACTTTCCACACCAGGCAGACGGCGAGTCTTCTCGCTGCTGTCCATGCTGCCACACTGTTCTCTGGCCCGTGAGAGCTGCTGAGGTGGCCTGTCACCTGTCGGGCTAGGCTCTCTCCTCCCACTGCCCCCGTGTGTGTCCACGGACACCGTCCCCCTGGCTGTGGGTGTCACGGGTGCGCGGGGAGGAGTGTGCCGCCGGGAACATGCGTGTTCCCACGAGGCAGGAAGGGCCTTGTCCCGGCCGCGTCCTCAGCCATCCGCCGGCCTGGGGAAGCACCGGGCTTGATGCCGCAGCCAGGCCCTGATGCGTTGGCGGCAGCGGGATGGCCAGTTCCAAGGACAGACTGCGGTTTAGTTTATAGTAAAAAAGTGGCCTGTGCTTAAAAAACATTCCAGTGGGACAGAAGTTGCTGCTCCAAGTCTTGGTGGCCAGAGGGTGATCATGGTTAGGGCTGGAGTGTACACACGTCTCCCTCCTTCTCACACACACCCCCCGCCACACACACACCCCCTTCCTCTCACACACACCCCCCCACACACACACACCCCCCCTCCCCCCCCCACACCCCCCCACACACCCCCCTTCCTCCACACACACACCCCCTCCTCACACACACACCCCCCCCTCACACACACACCCCCCCCCACACCACACCCCCCCCTCACACCACCCCCCCTCCACACACACCCCTCACCACACACCACCCCCCCCTCACACACACACCCCCCCTCACCACACACACCCCCCTCACACACACACCCCCCCTCCACACACACCCCTCCCCCACACCACACACACCCCTCCCTCTCACACACACACCCCCCCCCCCCCCCCCCCCCTCTCACACACACACCCCCCTCCACACCACCACCCCTCCCTCTCACACACACACCCCCTCCCTCTCACACACACCCTCCCTCTCTCACACACACCCCCTCCCTCTCACACACACACCCCCCTCCCTCTCACACCACACCCCCTCCCTCTCCACACACACACCCCCTCCTCTCACACACACACCCCCTCCTCTCACACACACACCCCTCCCCTCTCACCACACACCACCCCTTCCTCTCACACACACCCCCCTCCCTCACACACACACCCCCTTCCTCTCACACACACACCCCCTTCCCCTCTCACACACCACACCCCCTCCCTCTCACACACACACCCCCTCCCTCTCACACACACACCCCCTCCCTCTCACACACACACCCCCTCCCTCTCTCACACACACCCCCTCCTCTCACACACACACCCCCTTCCTCTCACACACACACCCCCCTCCCTCTCACACACCCCCTCCCTCTCACACACACACCCCCCCCCTCCCCCCCCCCCCCCCACACCCCCCTCCCTCTCACACACACACCCCCTCCCTCTCACACCACACACCCCCCCCCTCTCACACACCACACCCCTCCTCTCACACACCACACCCCCTCCCTCTCACACACACACCCCCCTTCCCTCTCACACACACACCCCCCCCCCTCACCACACACCCCCTCCTCTCACACACACACCCCCTCCCTCTCACACACCACCCCCCTCCCTCTCACACACACACCCCCTCCTCTCACACACACACCCCCCTCCCTCTCACACACCACCCCCCCTCTCACACACACACCCCCCCCTCTCACACACACACCCCCCTCCCTCTCCACACACCCCTCCCTCTCACACACCACACCCCCCCTCTCACACACACCCCCCTCCCTCTCACACACCACACCCCCCCTCTCACACCACCCCCTCCTCTCACACACACCCCCTCCCTCTCACACACACACCCCCTCCCTCTCACACACACCCCCTCTCACACACACCCCCTCCCTCTCACACACACACCCCCCCCCTCTCACACACCACACCCCCCTCCTCACACCACACACCCTCCCTCTCACACACACACCCCCTCCCTCTCACACACACACACCCCTCCTCTCACACACCACACCCCCCTCTCACACACACCCCCCTCTCACACACACACCCCCCTCTCTCACACCCCCCCCTCACACACCCCCTCCCTCTCACACACACCCCCCTCCCTCTCTCACCACACACCCCCTCTCACACACCACACCCCCCCTCTCACACACACACCCCCCCCTCACACACACACCCCCCTCCTCACACACACCCCCACACCACCCCCTCTCACACACACCCCCCCCCCCCCCCTCACACACCACCCCCTCACACCACACCCCCTCACACACACACCCCCCCCCCTCTCACACACACACCCCCCCCCTCACACACACCCCCCCTCACACACACACCCCCCCCTCACACACACCCCCCACCCACACCCCCTCCCTCACACACACCCCCCCCCCCTCACACACACCCCCTCACACACACACCCCCCCCACACACCCCCCCCCCTCCCCACACCCCCTCCCTCTCACACACCCCCCCCCTCACACACACACCCCCTCCCTCACACACACACCCTCCCTCTCACACACACACCTCCTCCCTCACACTCACACCCCCTGCCCCCCTCTTACACCCAGGCACATGCGGGTGAGCGTCCTTTGTTTGCTGGATTTTATACCGATGGAGTCGTATCTCCTTCCAGCTTGTTTTTCTCCCCTGACGATGCTCTCAGGATGCCTTTCCCTCTCCGCACCTGTGTTTCTGTGTCATTTTCAGGCGTATCTTGCATTTGTGGAGTGTTCCATCTCCCGTGAACTCCAGAGCGCAGGGGACAGACTGTGCCGCTGCAGGAAGCTACAAAGAGGTGGCTCTGCTGTTTGCAGGACTTTCCCTCTTGCCCCCAGGGGCTCTGCCCTGCACAGGACTCTCCCTCTTGCCCCCGGGGCTCTGCCCTGCACAGGACTCTCCCTCTTGCCCCCGGGGCTCTGCCCTGCACAGGCAGTGGCTGTGGTTCTGAGTTGCTCCCCATGTGGGTGGGCCATGACCTGCAGGGCCAAGGTGCTGACCCCTGAGAGCTTCCCAGGCAGGCCTGAAACATGATGCTGAGGCCACCATGGCCAGCGTGGTCTCTTCTGCCGGACCTGTGTCTTGTCTCCTGGCATCTTCACACCAGGCTCTGCATCCGAGCCTCTCAGAACAGACGGGGCAGGCGCCACGTTGTCCCCCACCCCGGCAGGGCACGGGGCCACACTGAGCCTCCCCAGAGGCTGCCTCTCCCAGGGCTCCATGGCCAGTCACGGCCCCTGCCCGCCCGAGGATGTCAACTGACAAGTTGGCAGGCGCCTGAGTGCTGGTCTGGCATGTGCAGTGCATGTAGATGCCACCCAGCATAGGTCTGTGTCTTCCTCCTGTTGATTTCCCCCTTGCAGCCTTTAGGGGCTCCCTGTTCCCCTGGGCAGGCTCATGCTCACCTCCCAGGCAGCCTGCAGCATTTCCTCTCTAGTGTTCGCCAGATACCGGAGTTTTCTATCTTGGGGACCCAGGAGGGGCCACAGCAAGAATGAATGGGGTTCCCATAAGGCTCGCAGCCCAGGGTCCCCCATCTGGCACTCCGACAGCCAGAGAGGCCAGGCCGTGGGACCACCCTATGCAGGGCTGCTGTCACTGCAGGAGGATCAGGCCCTGGCTGAGCCCTCTGGCCTCTCTCCCTGAGCCCTTCAGCCTGGTCATGTCTGGGGACCTCACCCTGGCTGTGTGCGCACAATCTGGTCTGGCCTCGCCTCCACCAACGTGCTGCCCTCACATCTCCTGGGGCACCCAGCCTTCAGCATGGCAGCGATTTGGCTGCCCAGAGAGTGTGCTGGGTTGGAAGGGAACATGGTCCACTTTGGGGTCTTGCCTGCCTTTCACATGCCCACCTTGAGTCCCCTTGGGGACAGGGCCTGGCCCAGCCAGTGCCCGTCCACCCAGCAGGATGAGCATGGCCCCAAGGTAGTGTCTCTCCTCCTTCCCTTGTCCTTGTTTGCTGTCCCTCTGTCCTTGCTGTGTGGACAGTGATGGTCTGCCTGTGCCAGGCTAAGCACTTGGGTCTGTGTGTCCTGTGGCCCAGCTGCAAGCAGGCTTCTTTTTTTTTTTTTTTTTTGAAGTGGAGTCTTGCTCTGTCATCCAGACTGGAGTGCAGTGCAGTGGCATGATCTCAGCTCTTTGCAACCTCTGCCTCCCGGGTTCAGGCAATTCTCCTGCTTCAGCCTCCCTAGTAGCTGGGATTACAGGTGCCTGCCACTGCACCCAGGTAATTTTTTTTTTTTTTTAATTTTTAGAAGAGACGGGGTTTCACCATGTTGGCCAGGCTGGTCTCAAACTCCTGACCTCAAATGATCCACCTGCCTTGGCCTCCCAAGGTGCTGGGATTACAGACGTGAGCCACCACGCCCAGCCCAGGCAGAGTTCTTATGTACCCACAATGAGCCTGCCCACCTCAGCCATGCCTGTTGAGGGGGTGGGGAGATGCCCTGTGGGCCAGCCATGCCAGCGGGTACCTGGGAGGTGGGCAGCCCTGGGCCAAATCCGAGCATGCCCTCTCTGCAGCAGCAATGCAGAGTCCCTGGACAGGCTCCTGCCCCCTGTGGGCACTGGGCACTCTCCCCGGAAGCGGACCACCAGCCAGTGCAAGTCAGAGCCTCCCCTGCTGCGCACCAGCAAGCGCACCATCTACACCGCAGGGCGGCCGCCCTGGTACAACGAGCACGGCACGCAGTCCAAGGAGGCCTTCGCCATCGGTGAGAGCAGCAGGAGCGTGGGACCTGCTGCCGGACGCCTGCCTCCGGCTCCCCTCCAATGCTTTCCACTGGAGCAGGAGAAGGAAGCCGGGCAACTGCAGGCAGTGGCAGTGGGGTGGGTACCTCTGGGACTGATCTGCGTGGGCAGCCCGTCTGTTCCTCATAGAGGGTCTCCGCTCCCCCCGGCAGGCCTGGGAGGTGGCAGTGCCTCTGGGAAGACCACTGTTGCCAGAATGATCATTGAAGCCCTGGACGTGCCCTGGGTGGTCTTGCTGTCCATGGACTCCTTCTACAAGGTGGGCCCCTGCCCAGCTCCCCCAAGGACCCCCTTGTCCTCTCCCTGACCCTGGAACCCCTGCACATGCAAGTCTCTGGTATCTGAGCCCCAGCGTGGCTACTCCTGGGAGGCCTAGAGCCCCTGCCCACTGGCATTGGGTGAGGGCCCTGCTGTGCCTGCAACTGCCCCACAGCCTCCCCCACCAGGTGCTGACTGAGCAGCAGCAGGAACAGGCCGCACACAACAACTTCAACTTCGACCACCCAGATGCCTTTGACTTCGACCTCATCATTTCCACCCTCAAGAAACTGAAGCAGGGGAAGAGTGTCAAGGTGCCCGTCTATGACTTCACCACGCACAGCCGGAAGAGGGACTGGGTAGGCCGGGGGCCTGCAGAGGGGGCCAGAGGGGGCTTCGGGGGGTAGGCCAGGGCCCTGCAGAGGGGCCTCGGGGGGCCGCAGGCACATGAGCCGGGCTCCACAACTCCTGGGTCTCTTCACAGAAAACACTGTATGGTGCAAACGTCATCATCTTTGAGGGCATCATGGCCTTTGCTGACAAGACACTGCTGGAGGTTAGCACTCACTGGGGATGCCCACCCCACTGGTGTCTTAGCCCTGGCCACCCTGTCCATGACGTGTGTGTCCTCCTGCCCCGTCCCCAAGGCGTCCACACCCTACAGGCCTAGGCCAGCCACTCCCTACCCCAACCCCAACCCCAGGCAGGCTACGGCTGGGTCCATCTGCTGGCCCTGCAAGGCAGAGCTGGGGCAGTGGTTCCTTCTCCACTGGCTGAGGCCTGTGCTCATACCTGGCGTGTTCTTGGCGTTCTCGTCCCTTGCTGTGGTCCTGACGGACAGGTGAGGACCCGGGGCTGGTGTGTTTGAGAGACTGTGCTGTAGGTCACAGGAGCCTTCAGGACAGAGCTGAGTGTGACTCAGGTTGGCCTGATCCCAGGGCCCAGGTCCTGCCCCTGGCACAGGCCCAGAGGACCCCACTGTCCAGCACATAGCCACCCCCAGCCTCCACAAGGCCTCTTCAGGGGCCAACTGTGGTGTGCTGAGCATGTGGATAGATCCTAAACTCGCCATGCCCCCCGTTCCCCAGTGTGTTGGTGCGAGTTTCCTCAAGCAAAGTAAAGGAGATCACGTATGCCCAGCCCCATTCCCGCCTGAGTCCTTCGCCAGCCACCATGCCACGCCTCTTCACCTAAGCCCCTGATGGGCAGCACCCCACCCCAGACACCCCCACCTCCACACTCCTCCCACCTGCCAGGGTGCCCTGGGGAAGTGGCTCTGGCCAGGCCCACAGACCAGGCGGCTTCACTGCAGGGGCTGGTCCCAGTGTCTCCATGCCGGCTGCTGGCATCCAGCCGCTCACTGGCCCACCGTCTCCACCAGCTCCTGGACATGAAGATCTTTGTGGACACAGACTCTGACATCCGCCTGGTACGGCGGCTGCGCCGGGACATCAGTGAGCGCGGCCGGGACATCGAGGGTGTCATCAAGCAGTACAACAAGTTTGTCAAGCCCTCCTTCGACCAGTACATCCAGCCCACCATGCGCCTGGCAGACATCGTGGTGCCCAGAGGTGAGCCTGCTGGGCTGCCTGTTGGGTGGGTGTCAGGCAGGCCAATGGCCCCGCCCCCAGTCACCCTCCCCCATCCCGCCCCAGGGAGCGGCAACACGGTGGCCATCGACCTGATCGTGCAGCACGTGCACAGCCAGCTGGAGGAGGTGAGTGGCCCTCAGCCCAGCAGGGTCCTGTGTCCCCACGGCCTAGCCCAGCCCCACTACCCACTTCTCCATTGCCACCACCCCCAGTGGCCTGCTCCCCTCATCCCCCTGTGCTCACTGTCCCTTGCCAGATACCGGCCCTGAGTGTCCTGAGCCTGCTTGGTCAGTCGGATCGTCCAGCCCAGACCCCATCCCGTTGTGCCGTGCAGGGCCTGGGTTCCCTGAGGAAGCTGGGGTGGGGGTACAGGTGCTCAGGACCCAGCTGAGGGTGCAGCCTGCTCAGCACACCCAGCCTGAGCTTTTGGGAATGACAGGCATGACCTGCTGGCCCAGGACTGGGGGGTTTCACTGCTGAGTGCCACGCCAGGCCAGGCTCCTCTCTTTCTCAGGGGGTCACCCCAGGAGCGACACCCCTACCAGAGGTCCCGTGCTCCCTGAGGCATTCTGTGGCTGGGCCCTGGAGCCTGGGCTGGCTCTGAACACACTCCGTAAGAGGATGTTGAAGGCCTGAGGCCTGCAGAACAGAGCCCAGGGTCCTGGCTCTTGCCCCAACCCAGAACTGCAGGTCTGGCCCAGGTGGTCCCCAGGTTAGAAGCATTAGAAGCTTGCCACCCCCATGACTGGCTGTGTCCCTGCGGGCCTGCAGCATGACCATTCCTGGGTGGGGGTGGCCTGGCCGCCTGCCCTGGTCACTGACGCGCCACCGTTCCCTTGTGTCTTCCTGTGTTGCTGCCACAGCGTGAACTCAGCGTCAGGTAAGACTTGCACAGCTGTCTGCACAGATGGAGGCATTTCCAACACTCCCAAGGAGCTCTCGGTCTGGGCTGTGGTCCAGCCCGGCAGGCAGCCGGCTCTTCCCAGTCACAGAAGGGGAGGTGTGGAGTGGTCCCAGCCCTGCTTCGGCCTCCCCTTGCTGGCAGATGAGGACACTGAGGCACAGAGACGTGACGTAGCTTGCCCAGGGTCATGGGGTCCTGACCCTGTCCTGGCCAGACTTTGCTGGAGGCTCCCCTGACCCCTGAGTCTGTCTATGGGATTTGACCCCAGAGAGCACAGCTGTCCTCCTGAGGCAGCACTGCCAGGCCCCTGGGGCAGTGACTACAGACATGTCCCAGCAGCCAGGGAGCCTGTCGTGCCTCCTATGCCCAGCCTCACGGACCAGTCAGCTTTCCCTGGTTGCAGGTGGGAGGGCCTCGCCCCTGTCCTCCCACCCACCTGGGTCCTGCTTGCCCCAGCTCTGTCCTCGCAGCCCACACAGCTCTGCCAGCAGGAACTGGGCAACTGCAGCAAGAAGCTTGGGCTGGGCCGGGGCCGTGTCCCACTGCCCCTCCCCAAGGGCAGGCGTGCGGGGGGACAGCCACGAGGGACCTGCCTTTCTCCCCGCCTTCTGTGGGTTGGGAGGCTCCTGACTGAACCACCTGGTGGGAGAGCCCTTGTGTTCAGAGCACTCCAAAGAGTTTGCCAAATGCTGGAAATGCCTCCAGGGCCCGTCCACCAGCCGTCCACCTCCTGTGCCTGCATGAGTCTCTGCTTGGCCCTCTCCGCGGCCAGGGAACCCGCAGGTCTTGTCCCATCAGGTTCCTCCTGAAGCTTTTGTTCTGAGAAAAAAAAAATTTCCAGGGTTTCAAACTTGAAAAAACACCTGAACACAGCCAGACACATTTTCCATCGTCTGGTCAGCTGAGAAAGTGTTGGCCTGTGGCTCCACTCACTTCCATCAGCCCCAGAAAGCCTTGGTGGGGGGCAGGAGGGAGGGCCAGGCAGGGCTGGGGACCTGGCCGCCCACACTCCTCCTCAGGCCTGCGGGGAACGCCCTGCTCCCCAACTAAGCAGCCTTCTCTTTGTTCTCTTCCTTCTCTTGTAAACCCCCGTTTCCTGCCCTGTTCCCTCCCTGAACATGCTCTTCACCTGGCAAGCAGAGGAAGCTCCGTTGGGATATGTGAGCAGAGTGCTCTGTGGTGCTGCTGTGTGCCCGCCTTCCTGTAGCCCCTTGTCCCTGCTCCTGCCCGGCCACTTTCCCTGCCAGTCACGCCCCTTTCCTGCCCCTGCCACAGCCCATTCCCGGCCCTGCCTCTCCCTGCCCGTGTCACGCCTCTTTTCTGCCCCTGCCATACCTCTTCCCTACCCCGCCCCTTTCCCGCTTCTGCCCCGCCACGCCCAATTCCGTGCCCCCCCACCCGCTTTCCTCTTCCTGCCCCTGCGCCATTCCCTGCCCTTGCCCCGCCCCTTTTCAGCTCTGCCCCTCCCTGTCCCACCTCTTTCTTGCCTCCGTCCCGCCCTTTTCCTGGCTACTCCTAGACCTGCTCCTGCCTCTGCCCTCCCCAGGCTTGGGCAGCGGGGCAGGGCAGCCAAGCGGCACTGAGCCAGCTTTGCCCCTCGCCCCCATCTCTCGAGGGGCCACGCACCACTTCGCGGAGGAGCCAGGGCGGGGCCCGACCCCACAGAGCTTTAGTTGTCCCCCAGGGAGAGGCTGGGGACAACCCGCCCATCCTGGGGTCTGAGACCTGTGAGCCTGCCCTGTGCCTGCTTCCTCTTAGCCCAGGAGGGTCCCGCGCTGGGAGGGGCCCTCACACCCTCCCCCCAGCTTTCTGCCTGATGGTGAGCTTGCCCCGTTGTTCGCCACCATCTTTCGCCTTTGCCTGGCAGCTCAGCCCCGGGCAGAAGTCAGGCCTGCTCCACCTCCTGCTGTGCCTGGCCCATGTGTTCCCCCCACAGTGATGTGCACGGCCGTCCTGTGGGGAGGGAGAGCTCTGGGAGAAGACCCCCTTCTTGAGTGTTCCCCATCGGTTTGTCCCCAGGGCTGCGCTGGCCTCGGCACACCAGTGCCACCCGCTGCCCCAGACGCTGAGCGTCCTGAAGAGCACGCCGCAGGTGCGAGGCATGCACACCATCATCAGGTAGGGCCCACCTGGGGACGGAGGCCCCGCGCGCGCTCCCGCTCCCGCGCGCTCCCGCTCCACTTTCGGCCCCGCAGGGACAAGGAGACCAGTCGCGACGAGTTCATCTTCTACTCCAAGAGACTGATGCGGCTGCTCATCGAGCACGCGCTCTCCTTCCTACCCTTTCAGGTTTGTAGCCCGCGAGGTGGAGGGTGCGTCCCGGAGCCGGCGCGGACTCCCTGCGCTCACCGAGTCCTCACCTTTCACCCCACAGGACTGCGTTGTGCGGACCCCGCAGGGGCAGGAGTACGCGGGCAAGTGCTATGCGGGGAAGCAGGTACCTGCCTGGGCGCACTTGGGCGCGGGACGGGCTGCTGGGGCGGGATGTGGGTGCTTAGCCTCCCCTCCCCGCAGATCACAGGTGTGTCTATCCTGCGTGCCGGTGAAACCATGGAGCCCGCCCTGCGCGCTGTGTGCAAAGACGTGCGCATCGGCACCATTCTCATCCAGACCAACCAGCTTACCGGGGAGCCCGAGGTGCGTGGGGGCAGCTGGGGCGATGAGCCCGGGGCTGGGGGCAGAGGGAGCCGCACCTGCAGCCTGACCCGTGCCGCCCGCAGCTGCACTACCTGAGGCTGCCCAAGGACATCAGCGATGACCACGTGATCCTCATGGACTGCACCGTGTCCACGGGCGCCGCGGCCATGATGGCGGTGCGCGTGCTCCTGGTGAGTGGGCCCTGGGTAGGCGGGGCAGGTTCAGGCAGAGGTGGGATTTACCTGCCCATACACTTTGTAGGACCACGACGTGCCTGAGGACAAGATCTTTCTGCTGTCACTGCTCATGGCAGAGATGGGCGTGCACTCAGTGGCCTATGCGTTTCCACGAGTGAGAATCATCACCACGGCGGTGGACAAGCGGGTCAATGACCTTTTCCGCATCATCCCAGGCATTGGTGAGGCTGCCCAGGCCCTTCAGCCGTGCATGAGGGCAAGGTGGGTGGCCCTGGGAGGCCCCACCACACACTGGCCCGCTTTCTCCAGGGAACTTTGGCGACCGCTACTTTGGGACAGACGCGGTCCCCGATGGCAGTGACGAGGAGGAAGTGGCCTACACGGGTTAGCTGCCCAGTGAGCCATCCCCGTCCCCGCCACCCTCCTGCCTCCTGACCCAGGATTGCCGAATACAAAGATGTTAATTTTTAAAATGTTACCAGTATAATTTATTTTATGCATTTTATAAAATAAAGAAAGCTTTAGAAAAATGAAGGTGTGATTGGTTAGTTACAGCACAGGAGTGGCGTCCTGGCTGAGGCTTGCGTTTGTGGAGACTCCCGTGGGGAGGGAGGGAGGGAGGGAGGGAGCTGAGGGCCCTGCCTTCTCCCATGTAGGACGAGGCATTCCCAGTCTTGCACTTGTGCCAGATCAAGGAAGGGGTAGAACTGGGCCCTGCAGCTCCCAGCTCTGCTAGATGGGGGCCCTAGAACCCATGGCTTGGTGGCCACCTGGCCTGGACCTAGAGAGGGGACAGGGCCCCCTGGTGCTCTGGGTCTCAAGAGGCAGCCTCTGTGGCTTTTCCCCCGGGGGCCAATGAGCCTGGAGCCGCTGCTGCTAAGGGCCCGCCCCGGGCACCCCTCCAGACCTGGAGGCCCACCCGCCTCCCGTGGTCTCTGCTGTGCCCACACCCACGAGCCCGGGTTCCCTTAGGTCCTGCCTACCCTGCTCTCCGCGCACGTCCCCCTCGTGCTCCCCGAGGGGAGTCGCCGCCGCAGTTTACTCAGGAAGAGGAGGTGCACGCGCAGCGCCCACACGACGGGCCCCGGAGTGTGGGGAGAAGCCCGGATAACTCCCATCAGCCTCCCGGGGCTCAGCCGTGTAGCTCAGGACTGATGCTGGGGGCTCAGCCGTGGGCCGGGCGCATCTTGACACAGGACGCGGTCCTCCGGTGACTCTTCGCAGCGGCCACGTCCTCTCAAGCACCAGCGTCTTCCTGCGTGGAAGTCCACGGCCAAGAGCGCGGCGTCCTCGGAGCCTGGGACCTCGATTATGCCGGATGCCGGATCCTGGACAGCGGTCTGCTGACCAAGGGAGGGACACCGCGAGGCCTTGCACTGCAGTGGGGTCTCCCACTGCCCATGCCACCACGCCAGGTGGGCGCTGGTCCCCACGTGGGCGGCCCATCTGTGGGTGCAGCACTCCCGCCCCCCACCCTGACCCCGCGCGGCCCGGCTGGCGCTGGGACGTGGTCCCGTGGTCCTTTCGTCGGGCTCCTTGGTCGCTCCTCGGTCTCGGTCGCAAGGAGCAGAGCGCGAGGAAGGCATAGCCGCAGGGAGGTTGGTCCGACCCCGTCTCCGAGACGGGGTCCTGTTTACCAGGAGAAACAAGGGCGATGACCCTCACTGGCAGGGGTCTCGCTGCCCACCACCCTGTGTCCAGCGTTCGTCTTGCTGTTACTTAACATTGCTCTGTAAGAATCCCATATCGAAAATACTGAACATAGGCCGGGCGCACTGCCTCACACCTGTAATCCCAGCACTTTGGGAGGCCTACACGGGTTCGAGACCAGCCTGGCCAACATGGTGAAACCCTGTCTCTACTAAAAATTAAAAAAAATGAGCTGGGCGTGGTGGCGTTTGCCCTTAGTCCCAGCTACTCAGGAGGCTGAGGTACAAGAATCGCTTGAACCCGGGAGGCGGAGGTTGTAGTGAACCGAAATCGCACCATTGCACACCAGCCTGGATGACAGAGCGAGACTCTGTCTCAAAAAAAAAAATAAACGTGGATTCTACCTAATTAAGAAAATTCAAAGACCAAACCAGAAAAGAAGTCTGACAACGCTAAGGCTGGAAGGGGCAGCGAGAAGACGGGGATCCTCTTTGCAAGGCAGTGTGGGGCCACCACTCAAGAGGCGGCTTCCAGATCCCGCTCCCAGCGATAACTCAGCAGCGACATTCAGGCCGCTTTGTTTCCACAGTGAGAAACTAGAGCCCTGGGGTCAGTTAGCCCAGGACCGGTCGTGATTAATTCGTGACTGTTCTGTACAGAAGCTAAAATGAACTAGACCTAATATAACCACACGGCTTGTTTTTTAAATACTCCTGTATCGAACCAGAAACAGGCTGGGCGCTGTGGCTCACGCCTGTAATCCCAGCACTCTCGGAGGCCGAGGTGGGCGGATTACCTGAGGTCCGGAGTTCAAGACCAGCCTGGCCAACATGGTGAAACCCCCTCTACCAAAAACAAAAACCGGGCGTGGTGGCAGGTGCCTATAATCCCTGCTACTCAGTAGGCTGAGGCACAAGAATGGCTTCAACCCGGGAGTCGGAGGTTGCAGTGAGCCGAGATCGCGCCACTGCACTCCAGCCTGGGCTATAGAGACTCTGTCTCAAAAACAAAAACAGGCCGGGTGCGGTGGCTCACGTCTGTAATCCCAGCACTTTGGGAGGCCGAGGCGGGCAGATCACGAGGTCAGGAGATCGAGACCATCCTGGCTAACATGGTGAAACCCCATCTCTACTAAAAATACAAAAAACTAGCAGGGCGAGGTGGTGGGCGCCTGTAGTCCCAGCTACTCGGGAGGCTGAGGCAGGAGAATGGCGTGAACCTGGGAGGCAGAGCTTGCAGTGAGCCGAAATCGCGCCACTGCACTCCAGCCGGGGAACAGAGCAAGACTCCAACTCAAAAACAAAAAAACACAAAACAAAAACAAACTCATAAGGCAGGTGGTGTACTTAACAGCACGGTGTAGTACAATTTATGTAAAACGATATAAACCAATGGTACGTATTATTGAACAAGACAGTGGTAGACACAGTTTAAAGCTACATACGGGGCCGGGCGCGGTGGCTCAAGCCTGTAATCCCAGCACTTTGGGAGGCCAAGACGGACGGATCATGAGGTCAGATCGAGACCATCCTGGCTCAGACGGTGAAACCCCGTCTCTACTAAAAAATTAAAAAAAAAAAACTAGCCGGGCGCGGTGGCGGGCGCCTGTAGTCCCAGCTACTCAGGAGGCTGAGGCAGGAGAATGGCGTCAACCTGGGAGGCAGAGCTTGCAGTGAGCTGAGATCCGGTCACTACACTCCAGCCTGGGCGACAGAGTGAGACTCTGTCTCAAAAAAAATAAAATAAATAAATAAAGCTACATATGGAAGGAGAGGATGGAAATGGGGAGAGACACACAAAATGGTCTTGGATGCTGTTTTTTAAAAAAATAGAAAATCGGACTCAAATTACTTTTTTTTTTTTTTTTGAGACAAGTCTCTCGCTCTCCCACCCAGAGTGGCACGATCTCAGCTCACTGCAACCTCTGCCTCCTGGGTTCAAGCGATTCTCCTGCCTTAGCCTCCTGAGTAGCTGCAATTACAGACACACGTACCACCATGCCCGGCTAATGTTTTTTGTATTTTCAATAGAGACAGGGATCTACCATGTTGGCCAGGATGGTCTCGATCTCCTGACCTTGTGATCCACCCGCCTCGGCCTCCCAAAGTGCTGGGCAATACAGGTGTGAGCCACCGCGCCTGGCCCTTCATTTTTCTTAAGGTTGAATAGAGGATTTCAAGATGTTACATTCTTCTGAGTTTTTGCTTGTTAGTTTGTTGAGACAGGGTCTCCCTCTGTCACCCAGGCTGGAGTCTGGGGTGGGACCACAGCTCACCGTAGCCTGGACTTCCTGGGCTCAAGTGATCATCCCTCCTGGGGAGCTGGGGCCTCAGGCACAGCGACACCAATAATTTCAAACTCTTTAAAGTCTTTTTTGTAGAGACTCGATCTCGCTGTTGTTGCCCAGGTTAGTCTTGAACTCCTGGGCTCAAGCAATCCTCCCACTTTGGCCTCCCAAAGTGCTGGGATTATAGGCATGAGTCACCACGCCCGCCCTCTTTGCTCCAGTCTTGATACTTAGAAAATGGAGGTGAAAACAGAATCAAGAGGAGGGGGCATTTGTCCACATGTGGACCAGGCAGGAGGCAAGTTCCAGCCACAAGGGGTGCGGGGGCTCCTAAGATCGGCTGCTGCTTCTCCAGAACCAGGGATCTGCTCTCGAAAACCAGGGATCTGCGGGACCAGGGAATAAGACACACGTGGGGTCTGCAGTGAAAACATTTATTTTACAACAGTAATCTTTATTTTAGGTCAACATTCAGACATACAAGACGGAGATCACCATGCGGAACCAGCCTGGCCCTCAGATGTGTGTGCTCGAGCCAGGATCAGCCGGAGTCTGACAGCGCCTGCACCCCAACACGGTCGGACTCCAGGACGCCAGTGAAAAAACCAGTGCATGGACAAGCAGCTTCCATGCGTTTGCGTTTGATTTTTAAAAACAAGACATATTTCAGTGTTAACTTCCCCCCCTCACCTGGTTTGAAACATTTTCCCCATTTTCCAGAGAAACAGTATCTACCAAAAGGTGCTGCCTGCAGGACCCGGCCCAGCCCCTTCTGGAGGTGCTGTTGTGTATCCTCCTCTGGGGCGGACCTGGGGCCACGACGGGGCCCCTCCCCAGGCTGCCCTTCAGATGCAGCTTTGCCACTGATTGTATGTGTTGCTTAGAAAATCGGCTTTAATGTTTCAAGGGAGGGAAGGGTTTCCAGTCACCTCCTAGATTTCACACCGGGACACACACCTGGGTCAGGTGGGCGTGACACGGAGCCCCCAGGATGGGCACCCAACCCTGCAGAGCAGAGGCCAACACCAGTGGGGGCCGTGGCAGTGCCCTGGGCACACATCCTCTGCACACAGTGGGCTCAGCGCTTCCTTCTGTGCACCTGCCAGGAAAGCCTCTTGCAGGTCCCTGCCCGACTCCCAAGAAACCAAAGGCCGTTTCAGAGCCACCTTAAATTGTACTTGTGGCTTCACCACGGGACAGCGGCACAAATGACACGCTTGCTGTGTGATATATACATATACACATATGTACACACACGGACACACCACAGCCCACACTCACAGCATGTGACGACGCGAACCGTTGCTGGTAAGGACAGTAAATATGTAGCTTTTGCCAATTCCACAGGAGAATGATTCACAACCAAAATAACAGACACAGGCCAGTCCTGCGCCACACGGGTTCACAGCTCCAAATACTGGGAAAGGGTGAGGTCAGTCACTTCGTGTCCCCCACGAGATGTCCCCACAGTAGGATGCACTGAGCCAGAGCTAAGGGAGGGTGGACAAGCCCCACGTCGAACTCTGCCCGCAGCACCCGGGCCCTCCTGGTGCCCCCACAGCACAAGGCCCACCCCGAACAGACGCCCTGGGCTCGGCAGGCGACGGGGGCCACTGGCGACACGCAGCACCTGGGAGCAGCCTCGACGGCATGAGGCTCCAGGGCCTTTCCCGGACGGCAGCGCCGACCTGAAGATGAAGGTTCTCCTGCTGGACGCGTGCGCACACCAGGTCCTTTTTCTAGCAGGTCCCCACTGGGTGCTGCTGCACGAACTGAACAGAGAGCTAGGATAGTTCACAAACACTGAGCAGTAATAGCTAAAGCAGTTTAAAAATAAAGCCAAAAGGAAGACAAAAAAATCCCACGTCACTGAGTGGAGACAATCTACACAGCAGCTGCCGTGAAGGGCCCTCGGGCTGCACCCATGCCTCCTGCAGGTCAGAAGCAGTCGGTGCTGCCTGGACCCCCTTGTGAACTGGACAGGCCTCGAAGCACAACCCCAGCAGGCCCCCGGCAGCACCCAGCAGCGGCGTCCAACGGGACGTTCTGTGCTCACGGCCACACACGCTCACGGCACCGTCTGCAGCCTCAGAGTGAGCGGTCGGGGATCCCGTCACTGCCACCGGAAGGCAGGGATGCTGGGGGCGTCCTGATCTGTTAGCATGTGGACAGGGAGATGCGTAAGCTGTCCCTGGGGACTCACCACCTCTTTTAATGGGGAACGGTCCACTCAATAAAAAGAGAAATAAAACCTGGAAGGATCTTCTTCCTTGAGTTAAGACAAGGCCTTAAAACCAACAGGGCAGAACTGCTGACAAGGGTTCTGCTTCCAGGTCAGGCAGTGGGAGGAGCTCCAGGCCCCGTGTGTCTGGGCTTCCTGGGGGTCTTAGAATCACAGTCACCACCGTGAGAATGGCCATGGCCATGAGTTACTTAGGTTTTACAAATTCTGCAGGGGACCAGGTTCCACAAACCTCCAGACCTGCTCCTCCTTCCCCGCCTACCCCACCTTCTGCAGGGAGCTGCACGGTTCTAAAAAATGGTCCACTGGACTCTGTAACTGAAAAGCCATCGGGCAAGGGGCCCACTCTGCTGAGTATCCAAGGACCTTGGAGTGTTCCAGCCACAGAGCTGTGTGCAGGCCCAACAGAGAGCCTGGCGGGGCTGAGCCAGGGCCCCCAGTGGGTGGCTCTCTACCTTAGGTCCAAGCTTAGAACCTGGCTCTTGGCCAGTCTGCAGAAAAATCACTCATGTCCTAAGCTACATCTACAAAAACTGCAAAGGCTGAGTGTCGCCGGCATCTCAGGCTGAACTTGCTGCTGTCCTGAGTGGCACAGAGGCACCCCACTGTCTCGCCGCCTCACGTTTCAGGACGGGCCAAACAATGAATTCTTACTCTTTTAGGAGAGGTCTGATTTTGACAGATTATTTCTAATTTAACATCACAGTGCATATCTCTCCTCTCGTCAAAGGTCTTCATGATCATTTTAGTGAGAAAAACAAAGAAAGGTGGGACGGACACAACCGCCCCAGGATCTGGTGCTCACGGCAGCCGGCTCACGGTCCATGTGGACCTAGAGGAGGGGTCAGCTGGGGGCCTCACCAGCACCCCGTTCCTAAGCACGTCCAGATGTGCTCACAACCATGTCCCTTCTGGCCACCTCCTGGTCCACCTGAACCTACCCCTCTACACAGCCTCGGGTGGCCGCTGAGGGCAATGAGCGAGCTGGGGCCACGGGTCAGCAGGCAGGCGGGGAGAGGGAGCTACAGGAGGCTCATCGGCTTGGTCCGAGCCAGAGCCACCAGGGACGTGTGCAGAAACCAGGCCCACGTGGGGCCAAAGGCAGGCCCAGCACATCCCATGAGCCATGGAGCGGGGGCAGCTCTGAGCCCTCGGCCAGCACAGGCACATCAGAACAGTTTCCCCTCGCTCCCCTACCCAGGGCACCACCACCAAGGTCTAGGACACACAAGAGACTGACTTCCAATGGTCCGCACGTGGATTCCGACATGTGGATACTGGTGGTCTGGCCTCCCAGGGACCCACAATGGTCCACAGGTGGATTCCGTGGTCTGGCCTCCCACAGACCCAACCCTTCTGAGCCAGAGGGTCCCTCTGGTCCAGTCAGTCCTTCCTCCAGGGACCTAATGAATCTGGCTCTGCCTGAATCATCGATGACGGGGCAAAGGCGAGTGGGGCAGACGGGAGCTCTGGCAAACACACGAGGAGGGGTCTTGGGAGAGCCCCCGTACCCAGCAACCGGGTGCTCACATATGCACAATCTACTCTCTGAGGCTCATCGGGCTGGTCCTACTCTCTGTGGTTCTAAAGGTCCAAAAAGGGCTACGGAAAGGACAGGTGGTCTGGAAGGAATGTGGAGAATGACCCCAAGACGGGAGGGGGGGAGACTGGCCCCATCAATCCAGCTCAGAGCCCGGGAAAAGTGCAGGAACACAGACAGACAACCCCAACACGGGCGAAAGACACACCTCCGAGGACCGGAACCGCAGCGTCCACATGACAAGGAGACCAGGCCAGAAACACTGTGCGGAGGACACGGGGTCAACCTCGGAAGGAGCCTCCTATGCTTTCCACACCAAATTCTCCCACAGGAGAAACCCTGCCACGAGGCCCCGGAAACCACAGAGCCCCAAGCCAACTGTGCCCAGCACAGACACCAAGGAATGACGGTGACGCCGGTGACGCGGCCTCGCCCCTTTGCTGGCAGGTGAGATCAGTCCTACTGCAGCCTCAAGGCTGGGAGCACAGCAGGTGGACCAGACCGAGGCCAACGCGGTAACACAGCTCTGCCAGGAAGCACCTGCCTCCGGCCCCTCCAGCACAGGGAAGAAAGGGGCAGCCCCCCTTCTCCTCGCCCACCTGGCTGGCTGCAGTCACCCCTCACCGGACCGGCCTGACCGACAGCCCTGAGGCAGCTCCACTGTGCGGTCAACGCGGTCGTGCCGCGGAACGTCCACAACACAGACACGGAACACAACCCCGTACATGCTATTACGAAAGGAAAAGAACAGAAGACCGTAGCTACACTGCTTTCAATACTGCATGCTACGCGCTTCGTGGGTCAAGGGTTGGCGCTGGGTGGGCGTGGAGGCAGGAGGGGCCCGGCGAGGCCGCCTTCCCATCTGTGTGACTACAGTTCATGACTCTAAGGTGGGCGTGGCCGTCGCTGGCTCCTCCTCTGACCACAGCTTCTCCTGGATTTAGTTGAACCCGTCGGTGTGGTAGCTGGGGTGGGAGTCGGCTGTGAGCTGGGTGGTCTCGGTGGCAGATGCCGGCTGTATGACGATCGGCGTGTCTGTGGCCTCTGAAAAGCAAGCACACAGGGCACTGCACGGGGGCCGCAGCCTGGTGTGCGCCCACCAACGCTGGTCCTGTGGAGCGACTTTCGGGCACCTGGACAAACTCTCCACGGGGCGAGGCTACTCGCTGACCTCCACCCGCACGGCTTTCCTCCGTCGCCTTGGGTCACCACCAGCCCTCGGCCCTCAGCCCCGCCCCAACTGCCTACCGCCCTGCCCCGCCTTGCAGTTGTGGGATCTACGGCTACCGCAGGTCACGGTGGGGACAGCTCTATGCACCTGCTTTACCTCAGGGTCCACGTTCACACCTCAACAGTCCCAGCTGCCACCACAAACACTCGCGGCACAGTGTCAGTGCCCTCCTGTTTGACAAGACAGGTTGACACCATTCAGGGCCCGTTCTGGCTCTGCCCCACACACACACACACACAGAGGCCCTGGGGCGGGCACTCACCCCTCTCGTCAGACTGCAGCTGGGCCTCCAGATCCTCAGGGGACACGTAGAACTCCGTCTCCTCGCCCTCAGGAGCCTTCGGCTTACACTTCCCGCAGCAGCAGTTGAAGCAGCAGCACAGACAGCAGCAGCAGTAGCAGCACGTGAGGAGGCCACAGAAGACAAACAGGGCCTGGGGGGAGAAGGTGGCGTCACAAGGCCTCCGAGGCCCCTGGAGAAGGCGGGGCAGGGCTCCCAAATGCCCTCAGCAGAAGGCAGGGGGTCCGTTCCAGGTGGGACACTGCCTTCCAGACAGGAAGCAGAAGGAAATAACTGACAAAGGGAGGAGGGAGGGGGAGAGACAGAAAGAAACCCGCTGCTTAAAGAAAAGCAGCCTCCAGGCCGGGCGCGGTGGCTCACGCCTGTAATCCCAGCACTTTGGGAGGCCGAGGCGGGCGGATCAGTAGGTCAGGAGATCAAGACCACGGTGAAACCCCGTCTCTACTAAAAAATACAAAAAATTAGCCGAGCGCGGTGGTAGACACCTGTAATCCCAGCTGCTCGGGAGGCTGAGGCAGGAGAATGGCGTGAACCCGGGAGGCAGAGTTTGCAGTGAGTGGAGATCGCACCACTGCACTCCAGCCTGGGAGACAGAGCAAGACTCCGTCTCAAAAAACAAAAAGCAGCCTCCAGGTCGGGGACTGGAGGCGGTGGTTCACGCCTCCATGAATCCAGCAGTTCAAAGTTAAAGTAAGCTAGGATCTCACCACAGCACTCCAGTCCGGGCAACAGAGCAAGACTAACATTAACTAAAGTACTTTATAAGGATGCTAGTGAGGAGGCCGACTAGTCAAAACCAAATACAGGCTTCTCACGAAGGCCACCTGGCGACTCAAACCCTCTGGCCTTATATGCGACACTTGGAACAAACGGAGGGAAGGAAGAAACGTGAATAGAACACTGAGGCTCGTTTCCTCCTCTGCCTCAGGAAGGACTGGGAGCCATTTACAGAAAACACCTGGCGGCTCCGCAGGGCTCTTCCCTGGGACAATCTGGACGCTCTGGCTTGTTCCAGGCAGGACACCAAGCCAGGGACAGAGCTTCGCCCATCACACAGGTGAGGAGAAAGGCTCCATGTGCCCAGAAACCATGTCTCAAGAGTGTAGAGTTGCTGGCATCAACACACTGGCTCTTCAATGCCGGGAACCCTGCAGGCATGGAGTGACCCAGGTGCCCGCACGGCGGCAGCTTGCCCTCACCTTGGCCCACCAGCTGGACAGCACGAAGTAGGTGTTCACGTTCTCTTCCCCAAACTGCTCGGCCACGTAGAGCCCCAGCGAGCCGTACTTGTCGTAGATGTTCCTTTTTGTGGCGTCCGTCAGGATGGCGTGCGCGTTGTTGATCTCCTTAAACTTGTCTGCAGCCTCCGGGTTGTCAGGGTTCTTGTCGGGGTGATATTTCAAGGCAAGTTTCCTGCAAACCAAAACCATGTCCTGGCTCTACCCTGGCCTTTGTCCCACCCGCATCACTGCTGGGTGCAGCGCAAGGCAGGTCCGCCCAGGCCGCCTCACTGTCCAGCTCTCCAGGGCGGCAGGGGCCAGGGACAAAAGCAAGCTCTGCGGTTGCTTCAGGTCAACCTCCTCACCCTGACCCAGCCTCAGAGAGTCCCAAGGGCAGTGAGTGCGAGGCACATCTAAGTTCAGCAGCACCAAGGCCAGCCCCGGGGTCCCAGCCACTAACTGCACACGTGCCAAGTGAATGGTAAGCATGGCGGGGCGTAATGATGGCATTTTAACATGTTTTATGAACCACACAACGCTAGCACACAAGAGGAGGACTATCTGAATTGTCTGGATTAGTGGTGGTGTCTCTTACAGGTTACTCAATGAGATTGTACCTAAGAGCGCAGTTCTTCAAGTTCAATCAGAAGAGGCCACAACACAGTGAGGGCTGTCATCACTGTGCTACAGCAAGGAGACCACGGGACCATCCAACGCTCTGCGG